AATTATGACAAATCACAGCTTGAACTATCTTGCTTTGCATGTAATTAGTCTATCTCATATATTAGTTTCACCTTTTAAGTTGCATTACTGAAATATATGAACTTTTGCACGATATACTAATTTTTCGAGTTTCACCTGTATACAAGCAATATATAGAAGCTAATAGTGAAAACCCAAAATAATAATAATAATAATAATAATAAAAATAATAATAATAACAATAATACTAAAGTAGTAAGGTTTATTATTACATCAAAGTAGTGGAGAAGGAAATAAAATCTGTGTTGTACATCGCAATCAGGTCTATGTATCTTTTTTTTTTTTTTAAGTGCCTCTTAAACATTTTCTAAAATAAGAGCACCTTGGAAAAGATGGCTGTTCATACTTACCTTTCTCAGACAGGCGCTGACTAGGAAAGTTATTTTGCCACAGAGACACAGCCACTGACTACTTTGGCATCTGACAAGCTTGCAGGGTGTCAGGTGCCTGGTTCCTCACTGTGCATTTTAGTTTGTCCCACTGGTCAATAAATCACTACAGGACACAGTGGTGGCGCAGCAGCTAAAATGAAGACCCAGAAAGCACAGTGGGAGACGCAGCCATACGACACTGCCCAATGTGCTGCATTGGAAAATTTTCCTAGAGGCCATAGTTATTCAGCACAGGGAAGTCAGAACCCACCACAGAGTTAAGTATCTAAAGTTTATTTTGCAGTTGCACATATTTAAAAAAAAAAAAATTTAACTGGGTGACACATTCCCTTAAATAGCAGTAAAAAGGATTACAGCTGGATTCTAATTTCTATGGGAAACTTATTTGTTTTCCTCCTGATTTTTTGTCTTCATTAAACTAACTAACTAACTATATATATATATATATATATATATATATGTATATATAAATATATAAAGTCTTACAGCAGCTGCACTAAATCAGCACAAGGTATCTATATACCTTTATCACATTTCAGGTACATTGTATCTGCTATGTTAAATAGTGAACACTGTAAGCTTTAAAATTACTATAGGACATAGGAAATCGCTCCACTCTTACATGCTATATGTTCTGTCTAATTGTTGAAGTACAGCACTATATCTCTACACAGAACTTCTTCATCAGTTGAATGTAAAACTACCAGAGAATAAATGTTATTGAAAGAGTAATAAAAGATCACAGTCAATGAGCTGTCCGCAGGTCAAAGGATAGGTTCTGGATCATCAAAGCTGCTTTCAATGTTCTGAAACAAAATGTGAAAAGCAGAATAATACAGACAGTTTGTGACAAAGCTGACACCCAGTCCTCCAAGAGGAATGGAATCAATTGTGACATTTTTCATTTATTTGTAAATGCCTCTTTGGTCGTACACTCACTCAAAACGACAATTGCCTCTTGCAGAAAAAAGGGAGGTGATGGCAAAATGGAGGAATCCTGACAGTTGTTTTAATGAGATTCTGCATTAGGGCCACTTTCTTACACTCTCCCCCGACAAGTAGCATGCCCCTCACTTTCAATCTCATATCCTAGTAATTTAAAAAACGTTAACCCTATGAAAATCTAAACTAACCTCTCTTAAATCTGCATGACTGCTCCATTTTTTCATCACATCGTGCAATTATATGTAAAAGTCAGGATTCCTAAGATGTTATTTGTGCATTTGTTTTCAAAGAGAGGAATGATGCACTGCTTCCTGCAAGTGATATATTATGTAAGCTTCTTGTCTGATGAGTTTAATGCCCTTCTTTTCCATAGTCAAATAAACTTAAAGGGACAGATAACTCATTCTTAGTTTGAAAAATTGCTTTCAGGACCTTTGTGATTTTAGCACAGTGTTTCTCAATTCAATTTCTCAAGTACCTCAAACTGGTTATAAATGGATTTGGGAAACATATTTGAGATTTGCAAAAAATTTAAAAACTACAGTAATTAAACTATGCAACTATTTGTTTTTGTCCACGTGGCAGTCTGGCTAGATTGCTTTTATTCTTTTATGTTTTTTTATAACTCGGATGCAAGGTTCCCATGCACAACATAACAGTCTTTTTATGCCCATAAGAAGAACTAGGGCCTTCCTTAAAAAAATCTTTGCTTCAACACTTAAAATCCAACTCCAGGTAGCTGTTAAAATTAACCATAAACAAAAATTGGTGCAGCGCTTAAAAAAATGAATATATAAAAGTGCAATATTCAAAATATTATTAATATGAAGATATTAAATACAAGTGATAACATAGGAGTGAATGAAGTGCTGCAATGAGTGCAATTAAACAAGTTCGGCTGTGAAAGTCATAAAGCAAAAAAAGTGTTCATATGATGGTGAGGGTCTGACAAACACCGGTCATATAATTGTGCTGCACGCGAATCCTGTTGCACAGGTGGTATGAATTATTCCATGTGACTTTAATCCATGCAGGGAATTGATAAAAATGCGCACTCACCAGATAATGCATAGTAAAAGCACAATGTGTTGAATCATATAATGACCTAGGATCTGCAGGAAGCCCCCTTTAAGTGGACCAGACAGACAGCATGGGAAGAGACTCCCTCCTCTGGATCTGAGACTGCTCTGCCACCGTTCTCCAGCTGGAGTCCTGGAAATCAATTAGCAATTCTTAGATGTGATGGCTGTATTCATTTTCTTTTTTTAGGCTTGATTATATTTTCATCTAATGATCTGGCCAGTAAGTCAGAGTTTCTGCCTTTAGGGGATGTAAAGAGAAGTTTTAGTCCAACATGTGCCCTTATCACTGGCTCCTTCTCTCTCAGTCTCTAAGATGGAGTTAAAATTAACTATGCACCCCCTGCACAAACAAACACACCAACACACACAAACTGCAAGGGTTACATGCGTGTTTAGTCTAGGTGTTTAGAAAAAAGCAGTAATACTTTATTCTTTGCTCCTGCAGGCTTCTTCCCTACTGTTCACTTGTTCCACAAAGCTGCTTCTCTTCAACACTCCTTTGTTTGGAGCTCCTCTAATGTCATCATGTACAATGCACACCAGTACTCCCATATTGTATCTGAGGATGCTAAGGTTTCACCCACAGAAGTGTCAGGGAGCAGAGAACAGCAATGGCTGTGGGGGAACAAGGTATAAATCCAGTGATTGTGCTTATTCCATTACCCTTTAGACTAAACCAATATTTAACCCTTGCAATGTGGCGGGGCACTGCATTATTACTTTTTAAAGCTCACTGGAGTTCTGCTTTATTTACAAGTTTATCTTACAGTTTTCTATTAATCCATATACATCTGTTTGTTGGGCCCATGAAATCCAGCTCATGCAGCTTCCTGTAATGGGGTGACAACACTGCTGTATTAAGACACATAAAAAAAAACTCTTGCTCAGACAAGGGAGGTTAACATTATTTTTTTACTATAGTTTTGGACAGAGTATGATAGGCATAGATCTCTGTAAGATTTTTTTTTTTTGCTGCTTTTGGCCCTTATCAAAAAGCTTTTGTTACATTTTCTGTCTCTTGAGATGACAGGAAGTAAGAGGAATTCTCCCAAGTTTGAAGGGAATAACACCTTTAAGATGTGTTTCCAGAACAGGTGTACATTATTACATTACATTATTCCTTACACAAAAGGTGTAAGTGGAGGCAGATAATGGTAACTCATTCAGCATCATTTTCTGCAGAAAGCACACAGAGAGCAATGGCAGCACAGTGTCCTAATTTCTCTGTCCCCATGCTAAGCATTTGGCTATAGCTCTGAATTGAGCTAAACAATTTCCAGAACTCCAGCAGGAGAACAGTTGCAGAGCAGTCTCAGATCCAGAGGAGGGAGTCTCTTCCTATGATATCTGTCTGGTCCACGTAAACGGGGCTTCCTGCAGATCTTGTGGTCACTATGTGATTCAACACATTGCGCTTTTACTATGCACATCTGGTGAGTGCGCATTTTTATCAAATTGCATGCACAGATTAAAGTCACATGGATTAAAGTCACATGGAATTCTTTGATACTACCTGTGAGACAGGATCTGTATGCGGCACTATTTTCTGATTGGTGTTTGTCAGACCCTCACCATCATGTGAACACTTTCTTTGTTTCTTTTTTTGACTTTCACAGCCGCATTTATATACTTATTTGCACTCATTGTAGCGATTCACTCCCATGTTATCACTTGTGTTTAATAACTTATTCATATTTTTAGGGCTCATTCACACTTTACTGTTTTTCCAACTCTTGCCAAACACCCCTATAGCATTTGACAAGCGTTGGTCCGGTGTTTGAGGAGTGTTTTTTAATGCTCTGCAAAAGCCGCATGCGCAGTTCAGCGGTGGTTGCTAGGCGTTTGCCAAGCATTAAAAATGCCCCACAAGCGCCTATAATGAAGTTTGAATGGTGCTAATGCTCTGCAAATGCCCTGCAAACGCGTTACAACCGCACCGCAAACGTCAGCCGAGCGTTTGCGGAGCGGCACCATAGACTTGAATAGGAGGCTTCAACTCCTCCTGACTCAACCAGAGGCGTCCGTTTTGCCGTGACACAACGCAATACTAACGCTCCCGTTTGAACAGCACTATGTGCTGCAATGTGCAGAATTTTCCCAGGCATTTGGAAAACGGTAAAAACGCTTCCCAAACGCCTGTCTGCTGCTTGCTTACAAGGCTAGTGTGAACGTAGCCTTATTAGTACACTTTTATATATTAATTTCTTCAGTGCTGCACCAATTTTTGTGCATGTTATATATAAGGTTTTGGGTTCCTTTCTAGTGCATATACTGCTGGCCTTATCAGAATCTTGAGTGCTCGCTGATCTTTCATCATTTAGCTTACATTATTCCTGCCTAGGTGAGGAAGTAGAAGGTGCTGCACTGAAGCACAAAAAAGATACTAACTGCTTCCAAGATTGCTGAAATATTTTCCAGTTCTGTAAAAGGAAAGGGGACAGGATCTAGAAAAGAAAAAAAAATAGGTAAAGGTCTGCTTTGAAATCTTAAAGGCTAAGTTCACCTTTTGAAAAAAAAAAAATACCCCTATTTTTGGAGGTAAGAAAATACTTTTATTAATTTTTTCTCTCAAGGAGCCTACAGAAAATTGCACCTACGCTCAGCAGATCACAGGTACAATCTCAGGCTCCTGCAGACTCTCAGGATAGCTGCTGCCCATATATCATACAGTCAGGAACAGGGGCGGACTGACCATTTGGAAACGCAGGCACTGCCCGAGGGCCCGGGGTCAGTAGGGGGCCCCATGAGATGCCCCTGGTACCTTTTTCATAGGCTTTTTTGAGTTTGGGCAAGGTCACAGGGGCCCCATGATCCCCTATTGCCTGGGGGCCCCATGAGTTGTCAGTCCGCCCCTGGTCAGGAAGTTACCTAACAGCAGGAAGAACAATGAACTACCAGAGTGCTCACTAGCACCCTCGCAGTTCATTGAAAACTACAAGCCATCAGCTGCAATGGCTGACAGTACCTGTAGTCTATCCATTCACAGAAAAGAGTGATTGAATGATGTGGCCATGTGACAGTGTCACACATGGCTGCGTTATTTTAAAATTATGACAGTGGGTATGGGAGGATCCCCATCTGCTGTCACCAGAATGGGGGGGAATGTTACATGTTCCACCCTAAAAATGTGGGGAACCTGTAACATGTTTTAAAGGTGAACCTATCCTTTAAGGGATTACAGGGCAATTTCTAAAAGAAATTCACATATTTGTGTGTACAGAATGTCACTGACAGATGTATCTTCTATACACTAGTCATCATATACAGTATATTATCCTACATAATATGACAATAATAGGAAGAGATCTGAAGCAATAGACATTATGCATGCATCAGTATCTAGTTCTATCCTGGATTCCCTGAACTGCAAATGAATTATTTTAAAGTGCATATCCAAAAATGAAAAGCCCTCATTTATTTATCTTATTGTAGAAAGTAGAAAAGTCTACTTCTTATAATTGCAGTCTGGTTTGACTTGTAGCACCAGCTGCTGGTTTTTTCTTCTATTACAATATAACCATTAAACACAATGGTTTGCCATGGGAACAAAATCATTTTGCTGTCCATGCTCTGTTTTAAAAAAGTATGTCCTTAGGTACTGTCTCCAATTACAGCACCATACATACAGAACTCAGTGCTACCCTTCCTGTAGATTTCACTGCCTCCTTTTCCTAACATGACAGCTAATATACAGCAATGGGCTGTACAGCTGTAGCTTTCATGTCTGTTTCCCATCCTAATTAGAGCTTTGTTTTTCTTACTAAAACAATGATATTTCCAGAATGATTCCACTTCTCTTGTTCCTTTTGCTAAAGTCTCTAAGAAACATGATTAATTCTTTAGCATCTACCAAACACCTGAAAAATCACTCTTAGGAGGAATGGCTGGTATTCTTAAAGGATAAGTTCACCTTTTAGACAAAAATAATAAATGCACATTTTTTTGCAGGTAAAAAAATGAGCATTCATAATTTTTTTGTGCCTACAGGAGCCTGAAAAGCATTGCACCAGCGATCAGTATTGGGATGTACCAGCAAGCAGATATTCTGACAGGAAGCATCAATGAACTACCACTAGCCACTAAGGCTGTCGGGACTTGCAGTTCATTCATTCATGGAAGTCCATGAATGAATGATGCAGCCGTGTGGGCGGAGCCCCCCATGAAGGCGTTGTTTTAAAATTTGACAGATAGTATGGGGAGTCTTTTCCCTGTACTATCTGTCAGAGGGTGGTGGCTGCGGCTATGGGAACATATTACATTTTTCACCCTAAAAATGGGTGGAACACGTAACATGTTCCCATAGGTGAACTTATCCTTTAATTTAAAAGTAAAACAGAGAAGGATTTGAATCATTGTAAGTTTTTTTTTGTGGTTGTTGTTGTCTGTATCTCCACTTGAAATAGTTTTTTCTCCTGGTGATCATTGTCACTGAATAAAAGAGTTTTAGGAAATACTCTACATTTGTCACCATGACAAGAGGTGAGGGTAAATCTTTCGCTGGAGACACCTATTTTAGAGAGGAAGTTTTGCCAGTTTGAGAGATTTCCTCTCCTTTCCTATTGGGGTTGATTTACTAAAGCTGGAGAGTGCAAAATCTGGTGAAGCTCTGCATAGAAACCAATCAGCTTCCAGGTTGTTTTGTCAAAGCTTAATTGAACAAGCTTAAGTTAGAAGCTGATTGGCTATCATGCACGGTTGCACCAGATTTTGCACTCTCCGGTGTTAGTAAATCAACCTTACTCTGTCTCTGGAATGCAGGTAAACAGAAGTATCTCCAATAGGACACAAACAGTGAATAATAAACTGACAGGTGTTTTAATTCTTTAATTCTATCCAAAACAAAAAATGGTTTAGCATTACGTACACTAGGGGTGATAAAGCGGGACCTTGGTACACAGCCCAGCAAGTTTCCCAGTTCATGTATTTTTTCTTTTATTAAAGTGTACGTTTACCTTTACAGAAAATCTTTAAGGACCTTGCACTGGACTCCCTCCCCACCCCCCTGGTCCCACTGTACCAGTGTCCCATCACCCCCTGCTGTCAGACACCGCTTCACCGGTCCAAGAATTTTAATTAATCTCCTAACATACCTCTCCACATGTACAGACAAGAGGCATTTTAATTGGTCAGCACTGTCACATGGATGGCACTGGCCAATCAGAATCTGTCTAGCCTTTCCTGTCAGCACTGCAAGGAGAGGAGAGAAAACCAGGAGGATTTTTAAATCCTTAGACCAAGGAAGCCCTGTCTCGGTGCCTGACAGTGGGGGATCACAAGATACTGAGGGGATTGGGAGGGGGTCCAGTGTAAGGTCATCTTACATATTTTCTGTAAAGGTGAACTTACACCTAAAGGGTCCATTTGCACTTCCAGCACAATAAACTGGAGTGGTGTAGCATGGGCAGGTGTTAGTTTTGGCTGCAGTGAGCTGTGATGTGCATTTTAGCATATTGCACAGTTACCTCTTTTTCTGAACTTCACTTGAATTTTACAAAGTGACACTTTATTCATGTCGCCTCCAAGCAGCGTGGTGCATTGGGCTGCTGTGAGGTGGCATGCACTGCCATCCAGAGATGATGCACCATATCTGCATTTTATTGCATTTTACTGCACTTTACCTCACAGATGCATGAATGGCTTTTACAAGAATTCAGTTTTAATTTAAAGATAATTTAAATAAGGAACTTTCTGATTTACAAGTATCCAAATTCAAGAGAGACTGCAAATCAATACTGAACCCAGGAGGTAACTTTGCGAATATGCAGACTATTGCAAATAAAACAAAAGATTACGGTTACATTTAATAGCATGATCCCACAAGTAAGAACCACTTCCATAGCATACGTCCTAATCTTTAATTAATTGATTGATATTGTATTGATACTGCACTGCAAAACTAACTAGCTGAAATAAGTGCATAGAAAAGTGAACTTGCCTGGATACCATCACTTGCAAAGATTTACCAGTCTATCAAAATTCTTTTAACACTTTGCAAGTGATAAATAAATTCCCTGTAAACATATATTGTATTGAATCAATCTTGTGTTCTTGTGGGCATGAAGAGGTTGTGCATTTTTCTATTATAGTGTTGTGATAATAGTATTTTTCTGCAGTTAACACACAAAAGGGAAACCTACCTTTTGTCAGAGAGTGACCTTGAATCTGAACTAGCCCGGCCATGAAAAAAGGCAAAGAATTTTCATCTCTAAAGCACTGGAAACAGTCATCTGCTTGAAGTGACCTTTTTTGAGGCAGTGTTAAATTGGGCAGCACACTCACACAGGCAATGCGGTTTTTAACAAGAGGGGAACATTTTTTCGTTCATTGTTTGCTTAAGTTGAGCATTCTTTATATTCTTCATGTAACGTAGTCAGTGCAGAAGCAAGAATGGGCAAATATAAAAAAATTAATGTTTAACAAGCTCCTTCCCTATTTTTAATGTGTTCCTAGTGTATGAGAGTGAAGTAAAGTGACAAATTATAATGGCAGGGAAATCTGCAATGTCATAATTTACTGTGAGCATGCAGGGAGATGGAAGGAAAGCAGTAAATATTCATTATGTGGATGTCAGTTTACTGCAACTTTTACCTTTTAACAGAATGTTATTCAGTTATATAGTGATTTATATCACATTTACAAATATGAGATATTAGAAGGATAGAGTGCCCACCTAATAACTGAATATCCAAGCAAAGTGTTGTGATCAAATATATCAGCTAGAAAAAGCCAATGCATTTTGGGGTTCTGAAAGATACCCTTCATTGGGTTGGTAAAATGTTAATGGACCCATGAGATGCCCCTGGTACCTTTTTCATAGGCTTTTTTGCATTTGTGCAAGGACACAGGGGCCCCATGATCCCCTATTGCCCGGGGGCCCCATGAGTTGTCAGTCCGCCCCTGTCCAAGAGATAAAAATTTAGGGACTTAAGTGCCTAAGCAGAGACTTTACACCTCTATAGGGAGTGCCTTCTTTTTTTCCCTGCTTATCTGTCTATATCAAAAATCCCTTAAATTAATGGTAAAACCCAGAAGACTAGCTTATTTTTTCAGCAAGCATCAAATATGGCTACAGCTAAAAAATCTTTCCCACTATTATCTACCACTCCTCTTTAATTACCTTGTAATATTTAATTTTTTTTTACCAGTTAAATATTTTGTGGAAGATACACAGAAATATTTAAATGCACTATATTCAATAGTTCTCTCATGACCTTTAACAAAAAGGCATGGCCTGATCTGTACTGATACCCTTGGGTATACCTGTATGCATAAACATGTGTAACAACACCCTTGGATATGCATAGAGAAAGGTCCCAAACACTGCACACCTAGCAAAGTCATTAGTAAACAGATGAAACCAGCCTCAACCAACTTGATGCATAGCCGTGCACCCAACCATAACTTTCATATTAGAAGGGCTCAAATACCATAAATTAATGCCACTCTACCATACTGGTGCTCTGGAGCTATAGCAACCCTTTTGTGGCTATGGGAACTTGAACTATGGATCATCAATGCCATTTAGGGCAAGTTAAATAACCAGCAGAGAAAAAATATGGGACTTTTTTCTGGTGCTTACTCTCAGGGACACAATAGATATATGCATATCACTTTTAAAATTCAATAGTTTATAAACAAATAGTATTCAACAAGATACATCATTAAAATGGATAAAAATTTGATGAATAGCATCCATAAGGCTAGACCATATTGTTATTGAAGACATTGTATCTCCCTAATCACATTAGCACACATTAACTCTAGTACGTGTATTAATCTATATCTATAGATCCATATTATATAATATTCAACAGCTCCACTGTGTGTAGTTGAGACTACATCTCTATGCATTTCACATTTTAACTTCCTCTAGAGCACCAAGGTGTTTAATGTCTAACATGTTCCAACAAGTAGGATCAATGTGGTCAACAAACCAACCAGGAAGGGGGAAACACCTAACATGGTACCCCTATAGGGAAGAAAGCCAAGGTAACTACTGGCACAGATAATTAATCTGCATTTGCATATAATTAGCATAGGGTACTTATTCACTATCTTCACATAAACTGAATCCCCAACAAGGTAAATTCCATCAAGCAATTATCAAGCAATTATGATGTGTTTCTCCTTCTGTCATTGAACCAACATTCAATTTATCAACATGCCAAGTTGTAGCTTCAAGTCCTTAGAGGAAACATTTAGACAACAATGGGAATTTTAGGTTCCTCATTTATCGCTCTAATGTTTTCCTAGACTTTATTTAACCACTCGCCCTCAGGGGAGATTTTACCCCCTTCATGTCCAGGCCATTTTTTGCTATATGGCACTGAGCTACATTAACTACATGCCCTCCTGAGGATTTACCCCCCTTCCTGACCAGGACTTTTTTTTTGCGATACTTTTTGCATTACTTTAACTGACAATTGCGTGGTCATGCAATGCTGCACCCAAATGAAATTTACGTCCTTTTTTCCCCACAAATAGAGCTTTATTTCTGTGATATTTGATCGCCTGTGCAGTTTTTTTTTGTACTATAAACAAAAAACCCTGACAATTTTGAGAAGAAAAACAATATTTTTGACTTTTTGCTATTAAACATGTCCAGTAAAAAAAATTTTAAAAACCAATTTTCATCATAAACTGTCTTTGCTAAAAAAAAATACGTGTAAATTCATTGGCTCACATGGAAGTTATAGCGTTTACAAATGGCATTATATATACTGGAATTTAAAAAATCTTTTTAAAGTAGTAATGGTGGCAATCAGTGACTTATAGCGGGACTGAGGGTCTGCAGCAGGCATTCTGACACTGGGGAGAACTGACTTGGTGTCACTGACATCCTCAGTGACACCAATACAGTGATCTGTGCTAATAAAAAGCACTGACACTGTATTAATGGCACTGGGCAGGAAGGGGTTAACATGTGGGGTGATCAAAGGGTTAACAGTGTGCTGTGTGCTGTTTCGCTGTGTGCTGTGTGTGTGTTTTTTTTCACTGTAAGCACACTGTTTTGCAGAGCCATACAAAGCTGTGTGCAGGAGCTGACAGGGGAGAGATCTGTGTTGTTTATACACAGGTCTCTCCCCCTACAGTAATTCTCGGAAATTGCCGGGTGATGGCAGGGAATCACTGTCCGGGACCCGGTGATTGACAGCCAAGGCCACAAATGGCGGCGTGGGTAGGAACCCCTACCGGCGACTGCAAAATCACGTATATATACGTGATTTTGCGCACCTGTGCCGCCCTGTAGCAATATTTCTGCTATAGGGCGGAGCGGAAGTGGTTAACTGACAATTGCAACATCATGCAATGCTGCACCTAAATTAAATTTATATTATTTTTTAAAACAAATACAGCTTTCTTTTGGTGGTATTAGATCACCACTTTTTATTTTATATTATATAAACAAAAAAAGACCAAAAATTAAAAAACACGTAATTTTTTTACCTTCTGTGATAAAACATAGAAAATTTAAAAAATCTAATTTCTTCATAACATTTTGGTCAAAATGTTTTCTGCGACATATTTTTTGGTAAATAAAATCCCAATAAGCATATATTAATTGGTTTGTGTGAAAGTTATACCCTCTACAAACTATAGAATATTTACTGTAATTTTTATTTATTTATTTTTTTATCTAGTAATGGCAGTGATCACTGACTTATAACAGAACTGTTATAGTATGGAAGGCAATCTGACACTAACTGGCACTTTGTGGGAGCTAACTGCCACTGACATCTCCAGCGACACCAATATAGTGATCAGTGCTAATAATATACACTGATATTGTACTAATGACACTGGGCAGGAAGGGATTAACATCTAGGAGCTATGAAAGGGCTAACTGTGTGCCTAAAAGTGATTGGTATGAACTGTGTGCTGCTTTTACAGAGGGACATGCTGTTTTTTTATTCTCTTCTTTGCAGGGAAACAAAAATCAGCACATCCCTGCTGACAGGACAGAGATCTGTGTTGCTTCCATTCACAGAACTCTGTCCTGTCATCTGCTTCACCGATGGGTGGGTCCCAGCTCCATCAGTCATTGACTCACTGATCAGCTTGTGCTGTAACTAATCACACAAGCCCCCTACCTGGAAGAACTGGATCATGTATTAGATAGGTTATCCAACACAGAGAGGCCGCTTTTCCGCCAAACTCCTATGTGAGACAGCGGCAAGCAGTTTTCAGTAGGGCCTTTTAATAGGCCTGTCCTAAATTTGTCATAGGAAACATTTAGGTCAGGTATTACTCCTATAGCAAGACATTATGAGGTGCATCTATTTTACCTACCCCCTCCCCTCCCAAAAAACGGAAATGTCCTCAGACTCCTTATCATTTACCAGTCTTTTTCTCAGAATCAGGTACATATGGTTTGGAATATACAGTGGGGATATATCATCAATATTATGTTACTTTTTGAATAGTTTTATCTTCCCCACATGTTCTAGAGCAATTGCAATTATCATGTTACAAAATTCATCAATGAGTAGAGCATACCCCTTCTTTACTTTGCAAAATGAATTTTTACTTAGCTTAGCTAAACTAAGTAAAAATTGACTTTGCAAAAAAATACTCCTTCATGTGCAAGGATAATTTTAAAAAAGCAGTATTTTTGTGCACACAGGATTAGAACATTGAAGCAAGTTTCTCTCCAATCACTAAGCCAATACAAAATGAAAAAGCACTTAAAAAAGTAAACACGTCATGTCATGACCATTTTATTCTGGAACATTACACCTATGCTGTGCTTATTCAGTTTGCCTATGTTCACCAAGTCACTATGTACAATAGTCTATCTATACGCTTTATCTACTATCTGCAACCCTTGTGAGAAACCTAATTTAACCTCCCTGGTGGTTTAATTATGTCAATATTTTTTTATGTCAAAGTGTTTTGCATGAAATTTTGTTGTTTTACATTGTAGGCTTGTAATTCTTAGGACTAACTCACTTAAATCTGTCCAAACAAGATTCTAGTAAATATCCTGGGTATGATAAAGTTTCAAACACGAAATTATAAATTATAATATAATAAATAACTATAAAAAATAATAATATAATAATAAATTTAATTCAACAATGTAATCAAATCAAAAACACTGACATTTGAAATAGAGCGCCAAGTTTGCACATCACTAAGCTCAGTCGCAGAATCGTCGCTGTTGCCACTTTCAGTGTCTGATGACAAATTTCCCCACGAATCACTATCGCTCAATTCTGCAAGTGATTCTAATTCACTATCGTTGTCTTCTAGCTGGTCTAAAACCTCTTTTGACCTAAAAGGACGCGTTTTTGATGCCATGAACGTTCTCTAGTTTCCAGGCAGAAAGAACGGTAATAGTGCAGGCAGGGCACTGGACAAAGCACTGGGGACAAAATTTAGGTGAAATGGTTTAATACAGTAATGTAATCCTAACAGATTACAATGTATTGTGTGTATGTCATGTTTTTACATTTTTGAATTTCCAAACCGGTTCTGCTCCGTGCATCGCGATGCTTGCAAGGAAGGGAACCCGGAAGACGGATGCCAGCATTGGCCGGAGGACATGGCTGGAGGACACAGCGGGAGGACATCGGGGGATTGCAGGATAAGGTAAGGATCGGGGGATTACAGGACAAGGACTACAGTGTAACCCCGAGTGTGGCTCGGAGTTACCGCTTTTGGTACTGTAAATTAACCCCGAGCCACACTCAAGATTACCGCCAGGGAGGTTAAAGTGGTACTGAACCAAAAAGTGTTTTTTACCTTAATGCATTGCTTGCATTAAGGTAAAAAAACATTTTTTAAGTTTCCAGAAAGCGCCTCATCCACCAGCGGGAGAGGATGTCTATTGAGGACTGCCGCAGACTGATCCTCAGTCTGCTCAGAGACTATACCTTGATGGACTTTAAGGAGGAAGCGGACGTCTGAAGATTTCCCCCTTCCCCCTACTCCCCCTTGCGTGTCTTTGTCCTTTCAATATAGCTTCGGGCCTGTGTTTTTCCCCCTCCCCCCCCCCTTCCCCCCCCCCCCACACACACCCGATGCCTATTGTAGATCGTAATATTTGGTTTTCGTTTTTTGCATGCATTAGTGATATTAGGAAAACGTAATGTGTATTAGGATGCTATGGTTTCGGGGTAAGCGGCGTCATGCATGACGTGTTGGTCTGGGGGATTCATCCTCTACGCACATCACGTCAGGCATCATACCGCTGAGCGAATGTATTTATTTCTGAATGTATTTATTGTATGCTTAGAACTGTATTGCAATGTGGTGCGCTGCGTCGCAGTACAGGGTGAGATGTACCCCGATTACAAGTATCATGTTGTTTTTGATGCTTCTGTAATAAAAGTATCTTTTCAATCAAAAAAAAAAAAAAAAAAAAAAACATTTTTAAGTTTCCTGTGCTCCCCCTTCCCTGTGTAAAGGGGAAGAGAGGGGAGAAGATATCAGAGCTTTGCATGGCTACATCTCGTCTTCCCTCGCTTCCTCTACACATGGGGGCTCAAACTGTAGCAGAAGGCATTGGCTCTTGCTACTGTCAATCAAGTGCGGTGAAAAGGAAGTGGGGGGGGGGTGTGCAGCTCCGTAGACACACAGGTCGAGAGCAAGTGCACAGCGTTTGTCCTCATAGTAAACGGCTTGCTATGGGGATACACAAAGAAGAAGAGGAGCCAGAATCTCCAGTGGGGTACCTGAAAAGAGGAGGATTGGGGCTGCTCTGTGCAATAACACTTTAACCACTTGCCTACCGGACACTTATATCCCCTTCTTTACCAGGCCAATTTTCAGCTTTCAGCGCTGTCACACTTTGATTGACAATTGCGCGGTCATGCAAAATTGTACCCATATGAAATTTTTATCATTTTTTTCTCACAAATAGAGATTTTTTTTGGTGGTATTTAAATGCCGCTGGACACTTTACTTTTTGTACTATAAACAAAAAAAAAATGCAAAAATGCAACAAGAAAAGTGCAAAAATTTGGAGGAAAAAAAAAGTTTCTTTGTTCCTATTATAAAATTTTTCAAACAGGTAATTTTTTTCCTTCACTGATGTGCGTTGATGAGGCAGCACTGATGGGCACTAATAGGTGGCACTGATGGGCACTGATAGGCAGCATTGATGGGCACTGATAGGCAGCACTGATAGGCGGCACTGATAGGCAGCACTAATGAGGTGGCACTGATAGGCGGCACTGATAGGCAGCAGATCGCCGGGTGCGCGCCCTCAGGGGCGTGTAGGAGAGCACGTTCTGGGAGGACGTCATGTGACGCTCTCCCAGAACTAGCCGGACGCAGTGTAGCCATCATTCGGCTATCTGCGGTTGGCAAGTAGTTAAGGAACTTGTTTCCCACACTACCAAAAACTCCCATGTACTCGCCAGATTTGGGGGTAGCTCATCTAGAAGAAAATCTTCAGTAGCTTTGTAACTCTCCACGAAGCTGACCAGCTATTTACTATTTTATTTTTATTACAGGTACTGTAATTTATGCAGCGCTTTACTTATATGTTGTACATTCACATCAGTCCCTAACCCTCAAAGGGGTACAATCTAAGGCCCTAACTTACATTCATACACATACTAGGGCCAATTTAGACAGGAGCTAATTAACCAGGCAGCATGTCTTTGGAGTGTGGGAGGAATCCCATGCAGGCACAGGGAGAACATGCAAACAGACAGACAGGTGGTGCCATGGTTGAGATTTTAACCAACGACCCTAGTACTGCTAGATGGAAGTGCTAACCATTTAGCCACTGTGCTGCCACTATCATCAGGATTTCCTACCGGTCACCACATCTCCGTGAGCAGAAAGCAGGTATACTTGCCCAATACTAATATTTCAACAATCAAGCCTGTTGTTGAGTCAAGTAATTCGTTAGAAGTCAATGGGCCTGAATTCACACCTGAGCCAGACTGCACTGCTCAGAAAACTGACAGGACTCTCTCAATTTTCACTGAATACGCACTCTGACTGCACTGGACATACAGTTGTGTTCAAAATAATAGCAGTCAGACATCACTAACCTGATCAATTACTGTTTTTGGTAGAAATATTATTTGTACATGGCAAATAATTTACTAGCAGGCAGGGGTGGACTGACAACTCATGGGGCCCCCGGGCAATATTGAATCATGGGGCCCCTGTGTCCTTGCCCAAACTCAAAAAAAACTATGAAAAAGGTACCAGGGGCATCTCATGGGGCCCCCTACTGACCCCGGGCCCTCGGGCAGTGCCCGAGTTTCCAAATGGTCAGTCCTCCCCTGCTAGCAGGTGTAGTAGAGTAATAGAAATCCAACAGACCCAACAGTCATGACATGCATGCTGCTGATTCTGTGTAATTGAATCACTAATTGAAAGGGGTATGTTCAAAATAATAGCAGTGTGGAGTTCTATTAGTGAGGTCATTCATTCTTTAAAAAACAGGTGGCAATTATTGCTCTTATTTAAGGAAGGAAGGCAGCAAATGTTGTACATGCTGGTTACAGTGCATTTCTCTCTGAAATTATGAGGAAAATGGGTCGTTCCAGACATTATTCAGAAGAACAGCGTACCTTGATTAAAAAGTTGATTGGAGAGGGGAAAGCATATAAAGAAGTGCAGAAAATAATAGGCTGCTCAGCTAAAATGATCGCAAATGCTTTAAAATGGCAACCAAAACCTGAAAGACGTGGAAGAAAGCGAAAAACTACCATTCAAATGGATAGAAGAATAGCCAAAATGGCAAGGACTCAGCCAACAATCAGCTCCAGGAAGATCAAAGAAGGTCTTCCTGGTGAGCACAGGGCCCACTAGAAGACGTCGGACCCTCAGGCCACCCTCATAAAGTCTTTTTATGATTGTTTGGTCAGAGACATTCACATCAGTGGCCTGCTGGATGTCATTTTGTAGGGCTCTGGCAGTGCTCATCCTTTTCCTCCTTGCACAAAGGGGCAGATACAGGTCCTGCTGATGGGTTAAGGACCTTCTATGGCCCTGTCCAGTTCTCCTAGTGTAACTGCCTGTCTCCTGGAATCTCCTCTATACTCTTGTGACTGTGCTAGGAGAAACAGTAAACCTTCTGGCAATTGCACGTATTGATGTGCCATCCTGGAGGAGTTGGACTGCCTGTGCAACCTCTGTAGGGTCCAGGTATCGCCTCATGCTAACAGTAGTGACAATGACCCTAGCCAAATGCAAACATAGTGAAAAACAGTCAGAAAAGATGAGTAGGGAAAAAAATGTCAGTGGGCTCCACCTGTAAAATTATTCCTGTTTTGGGGGTTCTTTCATTGTTGCCTATCTAGTGCACCTGTTGTTAATTGCATTAACACCAAAGCAGCTGAACCTGATTAACAACCCCCTTTGCTACTTAACTGACCAGATCAATACCCCAGGATTTTAATTGACTTGATGCTATACTCTGGTTAAAAAGTGTTCCTTTAATTTTTTTCGAGCAGTGTGTGTGTATATATATATATATATATATATATATATATATATATATAAAATAGTGAGTCACACCTGTTACTTGTAATTTTGAGCACCAGAAAGACAGGCTCCCAATATTCCATAAAAATCATATATAGAAAAAAGGAAATGCAGTATCCAAACTTACTTCTTGATTGGTATGCCATCACAATATTAGCAACTGTACAGTTTCAGACAACCATGCTCTTCTTCAAGCCATGTGTAAGTTTCAGCTAGTATGGAGCCTACTAACTAGACAGACAGAGCAAAAACAACACAGATGTATCCCATGTCATTAATTATCCAATTAGTGTGCTAATGATGGAACCAAAAACACCAAAAATCTCTTAATTTTTTTTAAATTTGTGAGCAGTATACCTGTCAATCCTCCTATGTCAGTTACACCCTTGCAATTTATTGTATGTGGGTGAGACAACACATAAAATGAAGGATTGATTGGCACAACACTATTCATCAATTCACAGCATGCAACCTGGTCCCCTTGTTCTGCTACATTTTGTGGAACAGGGACATAAGGATAGTGACTTAAAATTTACAATACTGGAAGAGATTGCCAGAGACAGGAGAGGAGGGAACTGGATCCTGAAATTAAAACAGAAGGACGTGTGGTGGATAACAAACTAACTAATATTTTTTTTTTTTTCACAAGCAAGGTGGATGGAGGAATCATCCCCACAGCGACATTGTATTATGACAGTAGGCACACAGACTGAAATTCAGCCGGTACCCACTGAACTGGGCAAATTTTGATCCATCTATACCCATCTTAAGAGTAACAGAATCATTCAAGGTAATCAATCAAGGTAAGTCAGGGATCATTCAAGGTAAGTCAGTCATGTGAGAAACTATGACAAGTTCAGAAGGAAGATAAAGGCTTCAGCTGGCCATAGACAGAACAAAATTTGGCTGGCTTGGTTCAGACCTGCCATTTTTAAATTTTTCTATGGCCCTCCCCACTCATGAGAAGTTGACCTATTTATTGACTTTTCATGAACGGCTTGCTGTAAAAGTTTGCTTTGATCACCATTGTAGCCAATCTGCTGCAATGCTGATTATATATTCTGATGGTGGGGCATCCTGCTGTCAGAATAAAATGACACAGTGCGGAGGATTCATCCTATCGGTCTCAAATCTGTGGATGGGGGAATTGGTTCCGTTTTTTTCATTTGGCCTTCTGGTTGAACGGAAAAAAACTACTAAACCATATATGACAAGCTTAGGCACTGTTTGTTGAAGTTGCAAGTGAAGAGAGGCAGAGGAAGGCTTTCTGCTAGTAGGTCAACAATGTATACCGTTGCCTGTAGAAGATAGCTCTGCATTTCCAATGTCTTCTATGGTGAGTAATCAGCTGTGCCCTGCCAATCTGTTCTCAGTCCCTGCCCACATAGCAAAATAGCAGATTAATGAATTGTTGCATTTTAGAACTTGCTTCCAGAACCTGCATTGTATTTATATTTGATGGTTCCATAAGGGAAAAACAGTTCTGTTAATGTAAATCTTCTGTGAGGTTGCACCTACCCTTAGCTACTAACTTGCTGTGGGTCTGTGTAAGGAAATAGTGCCTGATATTGCTGGCATATTTTTACAAGTTGGATTGTATCAAGGGACTAACAAGCTGTTGACCATGTCTTGGAGGGGCCACAGGATGCAAACAGTGGCCAAGAAAAGACCGCCGGTACCTTTTTCTGCTACATGTGCAATATCATCGTTTACTGTTTGCTAATATCTCTTCAGTCACCAGTTCTGCATCTGTGACCTTAAAGTGGATCAGTCTATCTTCAGTGCTTTGGGGACCTATTCTAACTTAATGTGATGGTAAGGAGTTTTAGCCAACTTCACCTATACAACATAAGAAAACAAGGTTGGAAAATCAGCTTTGCGGACAAGAACAGTTCGAAAAAAGCATAACTGAGTGCCTGCTCTAAAACATGCCAAGGCATCTTATGCTACTCCACATTGGTAGGAACACACATTGTGCCTGTGGATTTTAATGCAAATTATTTGTTTACTACAAGCTTCATTGAGCCTCAACTCTTTCTGTTCATGTTTACATATGTGTTTCATCTTTTTCACTTGCTAAGAGACTTTTTTTTTACAACACAAGCTTGTTATACTTGGGTTTACCTTGCCTTTATTATACACATTTCTATGCCAAATCATAAGGTACAATGTCCGTAACTGCTGTGTGAATTTACCACTTTTACTCGTATTAAGTATTTGTGCAATGGGTTGTCTAGTCACTTTACTTCCCTCCTAGAATTGCAGCCCCACCCCAAACAAAAACTATACTGTATATATATATATATATATATATATATATATATATATTCTATATTGCCAAAAATATTGGAACACTCATCCAAATCATTGGATTCAGATGTTCCAATCACCTCCATGGCCACATGTGTATAAAATCAAGCACCTAGGTATGCAGACTGCTTCTACAAACATTTGTGAAAAAATGGGTCACTCTCAAGAGCTCAGTGAATTCAAGTGTGGTACCGTGATAGGTTGCCACCTATGCAATAAGTCTATCTGCAAAATTTCCTTGCTATGGTTAGTGGTATTATAACAAACTGGAAGCAACTGGGAGCAACTTAGCCATGAAGTGGTAGGCCACGTAAAATGACACAGCGGGGTCAGCGCATGCTGAAGCACACAGTGCGCAGAAGTCGCCAACTGTCTGCACAGTCAATAGCTAAAGGCCTCCAAACTACGTGTGGCCTTCAGATTAGCACAATAACAGTGCATAGATAGCTTCATGGAATTGATTTCCATGGCCGAGCAGCTGCATCCACTGGACTCTAAAGCAGAGGGGACATGTTCTCTTGAGTGACGAATCTTGCTTCTCTGTCTGGAAATCCAATGAATGTGTCTGGGTTTAGCAGTTGCCCTGAGAACAGTACTTGCATAACAGCATTGTTCCTAGTGTAAAGTTTGGTGGAGGGGGGATTATGGTGTGGAGTTGTTTTTCAGAGGTTGGACTTGGCCCCTTAGTTCCAGTGAAGGGAACTCTTAAGGCGTCAACATACCAAGACATTTTGGACAATTTCATACTCCCAACTTTGTGGGAACAGTTTGGGGATGGCCCCTTCCTGTTCCAACATAACTACGCACCAGTGCACAAAGCAAGGTCCATAAAGACATGGATGAGTGTGTTTGGGGTGGAGGAACTTGTCTGCACAGAGTCCTGACCTCAATCCGATAGAACACTTTTGGCATTAATTAAAGTGGAGACTGCAAGCCAGGCTTTTTCGTCCGACATCAGTGCCTGCCCTCACAAATGTGCTTCTTGAAGAATGGTAAAACTTTCCCATAGACACACTCTTAGACCTTGTGGACAGCCTTACCAGAAGAGTTGAAGCTGTTGTAGATGTAAAGGGTTGGCCAACTCAATATTGAACCCTACAGACTAAGACCGGGATGCCATTAAGGTTCATGTGTGTGTAAAGGTAGGCATCCCAATACTTTTGGCAATATAGTATATATACTGTATGTTATCTAGTGCATTGGTGTGTTCTGGGCACCATTTAAAATGTCACTGCTGAGGGAAGGTAGGGAGACCCGCAATCAAATTCAGCGACTCCTATGATGGTAGACTACATATATAGCACCTTTTAAGGCCCACTCATATCATATGCATTGAGCTGGACAGCAATGCCCAATGCTGTCCCAAAGCATATACGAAGCAAGATGCCTTTAGTCCACTGCACTGCAATGGTGTGAGCTGAGAAAAGTAGGAAAGCCTTAATTTTTGCAGTGTAGTGCAGTGCAATGTCTTGCTTATTTCTGTCCC